AGATTGTTGGGGGCAATATGCTGACTCTCTGTAAACCGCTTAGAGAGGCCTGAAAGGCCTATGAAGCGGTATATAAGTCTACTGCTATTACATTTTGTCCCTTTTTATTATATATACCTTAATAAAGATTCTTCTCCATGTTTGATTAGGTTCTTCGTCTTTTTCCAGCAGTGCTGCAAGCATCTATTTCTGCTATTTCATTTCTATTCTGGGTTGTTACACCATAATTTAAATTCCTGAACTCTCTTTCTGTCCTTTAAAAAAGCCCAGACGTATACAAGTAGTAGTAATTATAAATTCATCCTGGGTTATGTTTTCATTTAGTTTAAATGTTGTTCACAAAAACTTAATTTTATAAGGAATCCATGGTTGAAAAAAAACAAACTGGTTTAAATAATTGTTTTACGTAAAAGTGATAAAATTTCACCCAGCTGTTGATACCAAATAAATTGGGCACCCCTGTCTTCTGACTATCTTGGTAACCAAGATGTGAAACTGACCCTTAATGCTTTTATTGTGCTGCACAGGATTTTGAAATACACTTTCAGCCTTTTGGGGCCAGCTAAGGCAGGGGTCTCCAACCTTGGCAAGTTTAAGACTTGTGGACTTCAACTCCCAGAATTCCTCAGCCAGCTGGCCCCAAGTCTTACACTTGCCAGGGTTGGAGACCCCTGATCTATGGAAACAAGCTTTTGAAATCTGGGTTCAGAAAGAGCAGTGGATTGTGAATGTTCCAGAACAAAGGGTCATTGAGGGCTTTAGAACCTATAAACCAGTAAATTCCAATGGATTACAGATGTGGGAATGGCAATTTTCAAGCTCTCGCATTATTGCATTTCTGACTGCTAAGGCTAGGCTGTAAGACCCTGAAGTAAGTTGGATGTTCTGTGGACAAGGTTTTGTTATGATGTGGACTTACTCCTGTGACCAGAATCCCTAAATTATATATATTTATGTCCTTTGCTTGAGTACAGGGCAGAAAAACTGCAACTACTCAACCACAGACCTGCAACTGCTGTTGAAATCCAGCTGGTAAGTTACAAAGCCACCTTCTAAAACATTGCTTTGAACATAGAAAATCAGCCAAGGAGATTTATCAATTTTCCAATAGTAGTGGGATTGATATAATTCTAGTCTGGGTATCCTTTTTCTTGCCTTTGTTCTTCTCTTCAGCCTATTTTATTGTTTACTCTGGTTGTGAAGGGGTTGCAGCTGTGATGCAGCACCTGAACAGATGCAGTGGAAGGACTGGCAAAGGTGGGGAAAGGAGCTGCCAGGAGGAGTTACTATTAGATTTTGGAATTTTATTATATCATTTTATTATAAAAAGTTTGTTATTATTTGATTATGTATTGTAAATTGTCCTGAAATCAGTGGTGAGTTGTGGGTGGTACGCCCTGCTACGGGCGTACCGGTGCCTGCTGGAAGCAACAGACTCAGTTCCAGTATGGTGCTTCAGAGGGCCCACCCACCCACCCGCGTTCCTGAGCTGTATTTGACCCAACTGGGCCATTTGCGCATGCGCAGTCAGCGTAGGGCGTCTGCGCGCTACTCCACTGAGCAGCTGGAGGATCACAGGTGGTGGGTGCGCAAGCATAAGCAGCACACGTGCATGTGGTAGATGCCCGGCCCGGTCGTAGTGTACCGGTTGTGACGGGATCCGGAACCCACCACTGCTGGAAATATATTAGAAGACAGTAATGTAAGTTATTATATTTAAAATATATTATGTAAGCTACCCAAGTCACTGAGAATGACTTGGGCAGCCATATAAATTAAATAAATAAATATCAAGAAATAAACAAGAAGCCATAGAAGAATGCTGAAGCAAAGTAATTATATCCAGGTTAATTGTAAAAATAAAATGGTCAGGAGCAGACTGTGGTTTTTGGACCTTTGTGCCAACACACATAAAATAGCTACTTAGTTTTGTAAGGAGAGATTTCTATCTTATGCACAACAGAAGTCCAAATATGACAGAAAGAAATATGTACAATAAAATCAGATCGTCATGGAGAGCAATGTATCTAGAAGCCAGTTTGGTTCTGGCAACCAGTTTTTAAACCCCCTACATGTTCAATTAATTAACCTGTCATCAAGTCCACACTTTCCTAACTTAATCCAAATTTTGTCAGGTGCTTTATCACATTTTTTGTTGAAATCAAGGTATACTATATGTAGAGTAATCTCTACCATCTCTGAAAGTTGTCTGGTTAAAATGAGATGCTGCTATTTTATCTTCTGATAGCCAGCACATTTAAAAATTTCTACTGAATGATCTATTCATTGTTGACTCTAGAACCTGTCTAGTTTTGAGGCTCTGCTACCTGGTCTGTAATTTCTTAGATCCTCCGTTGTTCTTTTTTTTGAAGATGGGAATTTTATCCTCTTGGTATTTCACTGGTTCTTCTGATTTTCTTTTTGACCAGGCCAGGGATCGACAACCTTAAACACTCAAAAGAGCCACAAAGGTCCTAACTGGAAGCCCCCCTCCCCCCCAATTCAATTCTGGAGCCGACCAGAAGTCTGTTTCCCCATCACAGTCTCCTCCTAGCGGGCATCCTTTTTCCTCTACCTGTCCTAAGCGAAAGGCCTATCAGTTGTGGAGCTGACCAGCAGAGGGATGAAAGAGCCTCCAGAGCTGCAGGTTGCCGACCCTTGGACCAGGCCATCAGAAAGTTCTTTCATGCTCTGCATTTTGTCTGATCCCTGAAGCTTTAAACCCATGCAAAGTAAATATAAATACGGTCTCACTCTAACCTTAGCCTTTTAGATTGTCATAAAACAGTTGTCTAGTTCTTTTGTCATTGAAAAAGTGTTGAGGGGAAAAAAATGACTTTTGCTCTGCTGTTTCTGTGTTACCTGTCGTTCCATCTTCACTTAGGCTGAACATGACAAATTCCTTTATCTATTCTTCCTAAACTTTAGCCTCCAAGCCCCTCATCATTTTTATTGCTCTTCTCTACACTGAACTTGCATATACCAGCTCTGAAGAGGAAAATAGACACTTCATGCTTTTCTGGCAATCCCCATTTTTAAATATTTTCTTTTTTAGGAACTTCGTACATTTCTTTTTCCCATTAGTTTCTCTGATCACTGATTCCTACTTACCATTATTCTGAATTATTAAAATGTGCAAAGTTCAAAATACCCAGTCAATTAGATAAATTTCCTTTCCCTTAATCAAGATCTCCAACACTATGTGGTCCCTTTCTCTCAATATTCTCTGTTTATTTTCAATCTCTCCCACCCCCTTCAACTTCCTCTCCAGGCTGCATCATTCCCTTCTAACAAACCTCTGAGAACTGCATAATAAATGGATATTGACTGATACATCCTTTGCTCCGATTCCCTGAGCAAATAAAATGTTCATTTTAGAAGAAAATGAATAGCTGAAGCAAATGTTCTGAGGTGGCGCCTGCTCTCGTAGAAGACGTGGGAGTTTTTAGGTCATTGATTTAGCAAAAAGGCAAGCTCTCCATCTGCTTTATTCCACGTTTAAGGAAGTCTATTAGTTTATAGGAGATGGAAAATAAAACAAGAGATCACTCTCGGTTTAATCCTCTTCATAAAAATATTTTGATTCCAAAATAGCTCCTAGGTACACGGTCAAGGCTGTTGACTTTAACTGAAGTAGATGGAAATAATTCAATGTTGCAATGTGCTTCACCTGCATAAGTTTTTTTTTAACGTATTGTGTATATTTTGCTCTCTTTCAAGTATTTAAAAGTTAAGTAGGGAAAAACAATCATTTCTATCAGCTTAGCTCAAATCTTTACCTTACTGAAGAGTTTGTTATTATTGCTGTTATGGTTTGCTGTACAGTCACCCAGATGTTTAGATTGAAATTGGCACTTTTATCCACCTGTTGAGTTCTTCCCAAAGCCAGAAATTGTTGTTCAACAATACAGGAAGTCCTCAGCATACAACCACAATTGTGCCCAAAATTTCTCTTGCTGAGTGAGACCATTGTTAAATGAATTTGGCCCCAGTTTACCAACTTTCTTGCCACAGTTGTTAAGTGAATCACTGCAGTTACGTTAGTAACACATTTGTTAAGGGAATCTGGCTTCTCCATTGACTTTGCTTGCCAGGAGGTTGATCAGGTGACCATGGGGATGCTGCTGCAACGGTTGTAAGTATGAAAAACAGTCATAAGACACTTTTTTTTTAGTGCCATTGTAATTTCCAGTGGTCACTGAATGAATTTTTGTAAGTCGAGGACTACCTGTATTCGCAGCAACATAAAGGTACAACATCATTGAAAAAAGTGTGACTTATGATCATTTTCCACACGTGCAGCATCCCCGTGGTCACATGATCAAAATCCGGACAGTTTGCATCCCAGAGTCATGTGATCTCCTTTTGAGTCCTTCTGACAAGCAAATGGAGAGACCAGATTCACTTGACGACCGTTTTACTAACTAAACAACTGCAGTGATTCACCTAACACAGTGTTTCTCAACCTTGGCGACTTTAAGTCCTGTGGACTTCAACTCCCAGAATCCCCCAGCCAGCTCTTGCTGGCTGGGGAATTCTGGGAGTTGAAGTCCACAGGACTCAAAGTCGCCAAGGTTGAGAAACACTGACCTAACAACTGTGGTGAGAAAGGTTGCAAAATGGGGCAAAACTCACTTAGCAAATGTCTCGCCTAGCAACATAAATTTTGGGCTCAATTGTGATCGTCATTCAAGGACTATCCGTATTGTACAAGGGCCCTCCTGGCCACAGCTGTCCGCCTCCTAATTGAGCAGGAGCTTTGAATCCAAGAAGACTTCAGAGTAGGAAAGGACAACTCTACTGAAGCCAATGGTGTAAAATGTCCTCCTCTAGGATCCAATATCTGAGTCATTTCGATAGCTTAGATGCAAAAAGCTAAAGATCACAACAGCTTGGCCTGCCTTTGAGGAAGTTTGTTTTTCTCTGAGATAAGAGGAGTAGATCCATAAAGAGCATTAGCTGGGACCAAAGCTTGTTTGTTTAAAGAGGAAGGGATTTTATGTGGTTTTGTGGTGTGACTAAGAATTTCCATTTGCTATTCTTAGGCAGATCTAATAGGCAGATCTGAGTATTTGCATCAGAAATTTCTTATCGTTTTCAGTGAAACGATATGCATGGTGAGGAAAAAATAAAACTGTGATACATTGCTCAGTCATTCAGCTGCTTTTTACTCTTTGTGGTGGACATCATTTTACTAGGATTGTCTGTCGAATACATTTAATTCTCTGCGTTTTGTAAATATCTCTTGTCTTTCCTATTTAATTATTCTCAGATTTTTTGTAGTGTTTAATTTTGCCTTCGGTTATTTTCATTGCATAACAGACAACTGTTTTTGCATTTCTGGGGTTGGTTTGGTGTGTGTTTTTTTTTTTTTTGCTTCAGCATTAATAATGCCATGGATTTTTTTTCCAGGCACTCTAGTTACCAAACCTTTAATCCATTAAATTTAGACTTTACCTTCATCACGGTATCAAAATGAATAGACTGACATACCAGTCAGATCTTTTATTTGTCTTCTTTGGTTTAAGATGCAACTGCGCAACAAGAAGTGTGTGATCTGAGCCATAGTGAGCACCACAACGTCTTCTTGCTGACAGTATAGAATTTCTTCATTTTTGCCTTTAGAATATATTGTCAGTTTGATTTCAGACTTGTCCGTCTGATGATGGCCATCTGTGGAGTTATGTTTTAGCTTCTTGGAATAAGGCGTGTGCTGCAAACATTTAATTTTCTTAGCAGAACTATCTGTCTCATTCATTCATATGTGACCTATTTTTCCTGTCAGTCCAGATTCTATTTGCAGCTTTAGTATCTCAGATTTCTACACTGTAATTAGAATTATGCTTTTTTTTTTGATATGGTGTTGCAAATTGTCATAGAACTGTTATACTGGATTTGTCATTTGATAACTGGCTTACCTTCGATTCAGATTAATATCATCTCATTTGTGGGAGGGTTGTATCCAAGCACTGACTTACACAATAACAACAACAACAACAGCTAGCCTCATTTTTTCAATGAGATTTTAACCCACAATTGAAGATCTATTGCTTTTCTGATGTGAAGGGACTCATTTCAGTCCACTTCAATTTGCTGATTTCCGGAATGTGAATATTCACTCTTGACATTTCTGTTCTGACATCAACTTTGCCTTAATTCATAGTCTGACATTCCATGGACCAATGGGAGATATATCTTCGCTGCTTCAACCTTTCCTTTTGCTTCTGGGCAGTCAGGAGCTGGGCTTTCCTTTGGCTTCAATTCAACACATTATAAGCACCAGTGCCCTTGCTCTTCGCTCTTGCCCACTAGATTGTTTCATGCCTTCCAAGCTTCAAAATCGTGTTGATGCTGTCTTGGTTGTGGACATCCACTTGATTTTCTTGACAGAACACTGGAGTAGATTGCTCTTTCTTTCTCCAGTGGACTGTATTTAGTTAGAGCCCTCGTCTTTAACATGCCTGTCATGGATGACGTTTCTGGGAATATACTATAGTTTATAACATCATTAGGAAATGTCAGCTGTTTCATCACTACAAGGCCAGGCTCCATGAAAGAAATAATGCTTCCCTGTACATTCAAGCTGCATCCCAAGTGGAGCAAGGCTGAACTGGAATAGTCCAATGGCCAAAGAGGTTCCTGAGTTCTCTAAAACTTTCCATTGGGCAGGATATTAAAAAGCAGGAGATGGGGAAAAGCAAAGGAGTTCCAAAAATTAGGATCAAATCAAATACCTTTATTAAATGATCCTTGCTCTGCTTTTACAATAAAAAAGAGAAATCGTTTGATATAACAATTCGTTAATGGTTGGGAAACAATAGGGACAATCAAATGCTATCTTTAATCAAAGGCTTTGCACAGTTGCAAGACTTGGTGACGGTATGTGAGTGTGGGACAAGCATCCCTTAAAAAATAATAAACATAAATTTTGTCAGTGTTACCTTCAAATTTGGAGATGACTGGGGAGATCATAGCACATCTTGGGGCATTATAAAAAGACACTGTATGAGGACATGAGCGAGAGTTTCTACCTCCCTGGAGCCACAAGGGCAAATTGTTTGCAAATGAGTTGAGTGCAGCCTTCCTGCCAATAGAGCTCAGGCCCAGAAATTAGGATAAATGGTTCAATTATAAGATTTGAGTCCAGGGTGTATCCAGATATTGACAGTACCTAACTTTGACTAATGCATTCATTCAGTGCCTAGGTGGGGAAAGCTCTTATCAGTGCCAACAGTCTTATCTGTAAAAATGCCCTTCCTTACCAGGGAAGGAGAGGCCTCTCTGTGCCTGTTCCTTAGAATAACTGATTAGTTGACTGTTTTCTGATTCGTAGTAATTGGTTTAATTTTATCCGAGTTTTTCTGAGCCTTGCTAAATGTTAAAGTTGTTTGGTTTTTGTTCATCTACTGCATAATGTCAGCTTTATTGTCTTAGGACAATCTCTTGCTGTACCAGCTGCAAATTCTGTGAATTAGGTCCATCCTAAACTTGGAAGTTAGCATGTAAAAGGGTGATCAGGACATACTGGTAAGATACTAAATCATTGTCCTTTGCAGATTGTGGAAGAAAGTGAAGAGAGGCTTACAGAAGAGCAAATTGAATCCCTTCTCCAGACAGTCACCAGCATGCTTCCTGGAGACCCGGAACAAGAGCAGGAGGAGCAACCCATGGTTGTGGAAGAGGAGGGGAGCCTAACATAGGAGAAGTATAAACAAACTGCAGGAGACCTCCTTCCCCATTTTAGAATCTGGAAGGATTGGCCAAATTCTTCATTTGCTATGAGAATCTGCAGATTTCCCACTGTCTCCATGATGACTTCGCAGTGTTGTTACTATATGTTTTCCAATTGTTTGTACATCATAGGGGAATTATTATTTACATTATAAACTTTTAAAGGAAAAAACAAGCCCACTCTTTGTTTTTATGTTTTGTGTATTGTAAGTGCGACATGAATCGGAAGTTCATCCCAGGGCAAATGCTACTGTTGACTTCACAATTTTCATGCTTCTCTATTGTGATATGAATCCTGAATTCATCACAAGGCAGATGCTACAGTTGGCTTCACAATTTTCATGCTTATCTACCTGGAAAGTTTTACACATCAATAGGACAAACGTTGGCGTTATGGACTTGTTCATTTATTAGGAAAGTGCATTCCAATTTTCCTGTTATTACTAAAGGGTATCACATATAAAGTAGCAGATCATTAATAGGTTAACAATAGCCTATCCATTACCGTTGTATGTCAGTCATATGACTGACCCGATTTTGCAACCTTTTTGCAGTTAAGCAAAGCACTGTATTCGTTAAACAAATCTATGGTAATTAAGTGAATCCATGGTTGTTAAATAAACCAATGGTTCACTATGGGCGTGGTTTTGCCAAAAACTAGAAGTGCCAATTTTGGCCAAAACTCTGTAAAACTGGTTTTCATGTGACCACAGGATGCTGCAAATGGCTATGAATACGGTCATATTGCCAAAGTTTGTCATGCAATCACAGAGAGGACTCAACCATTGGAACTTTGAATTTGGGTTGTTAAGTCCCCTTTTCAGGTTGGTCATAATTTTGAATGGTTGCTAAGCAACCTGTCGTAAGTCAAGGACTGCCTGTATGTTTTTCTTTCCTTTGTTTCTCAGCTGAGGCTTTCACTCTTCATTGGGTCGACTCACACTTAGTTCTTAGCCATAACATGTCCACTATCCTTTTGGCAGATGTAAACCATGGTCTGGGATCAGTTTTCTGGGCAAACACAGCCAATTGCTAAGGAAACCTAAAGGCATATTGTTTAGTCAGTGCCCCTCTGTCTTCCTCCCTCACTTTCATTGTTCTACCGCCAAACATCTGTCTAGTAGTCTGTATCTTCCCAATATTTGGGAGATTGAAAGAATCCAGTAATCAATGGCGAGAAGGAATTGTAGTCCAAAACATCTGGAGAACATCAAGTATCTTTGCCGTGTTCAGTTTTTGAGTGTCCTGGGCACCTTCCTCCTTAGATTTACTTGCTTGCTTGGACATATCAACAAATCTAAAAAACAAGAGACCTGCTTTATACTACATTACTTTATGCACATATAAATAAAATGGGAGTGTCTGGCCAACCTTTCCAATGCAGTGCTGAACATCTACTTAACTCCTGGTAGAATACTATCAATTTTTTTGAAACATGTGTTTTAGATTTTTGAAAAGTATATAAAGAAAGAAACACATAGGAAAAATAAGTGTGTTTCAGTTTGAGATATGTATTCTTTTTTTTAGGCAAACGATACTTTCAGGTGCTGAAACTCCTTAAAAGGAAACTGGGTGGTGAATGATTATAGCTGCAGGCAAGCAAATCCCTAAAATAACTCAATCCTTGTTCAAAGCTCCTATTTGCTCTTCTGCAGATGTGCCAGACGATGAAGAGATTTGTACATAAGCAGTTCTATCCTTGCTTCCTGTTCTGTTCTCTTCCTGTTCTGTTAGCTTGGAAATGTGGAAACGACAAGTGTCCTTCACCAGTTCGGGGCTTCAAATCCACAGGGACTGCATGGCTTGTAAATAAATTTAAATTGGGCAGATTCAAACAACATGTGCACAATGACTTGATTGATAGATCTTGATAAGTGGTAGTGAGAGAATACATGAAACCCTTAAGTCCACCTCTAAACACAGTAGCCAGAAATAAGTGGTGTGGTTGACCATTTAAGTCAAGACAAAGGAAAATATTGTAAATCCTGATTTAAGCATATCTGTTTGGGGGTTGGGGGAGTTGTTTAAAAAGTCAAAAGAGGAGAGCCAAGACTGTATGTTTGAAGCTCTGTCTCTTGCATAATTGTAAGTCTATGGTGGCCCCCCAAAAATCAGAAGTCTGATAAGAACTTTTCTGTCAATTTTTATTAAGTGAGACAAGTAGTTCTTGGCTTATGACCACAACTGGGATCAGAATTTCCATTGCCAAGCAAGTGAGTTAAGTCCAATTTTGCCATGATCAAAAAGTGTATCACTGCAATTGTTAGGCAAATCATGCAGTTGTTAAGTGAATCCTTTTTCCCCATTGACTTTGTTGTAAACCAACTGGGAAGATTACAAATGGTGATCCTGGCTATAATTCAACCATCATAAGTGCATATTGGTCATCAAGTGCCCAAATTTTGATCACATGACCTGGGGGATGCTGCAAAGGATGCAAGTACAAAGACTGGTTGTAAGTCACTTTTTTCAGTGCCACTATAACTTTAAACAATTGCTAAATGAATGATTGTAAATCAAAGACCATCTATATACTTAAGCTGTAGTTCACAAAAGGTTATACCTTTTAATGCAAATCAGCTAGTTAGAAAAGTTGCTATGAGGCTCCTGGTTATTATTGTTGTTGTTGTTGTTATTTGCCATTGGGGCTTCTAAGATACTTTACCAACTCAACCAGTTAAGATTAAGTCAGTAACATATGTATTGATAAATTAGATTGATATCCTCACTGAATTATTACTTCCCCTAGTTCACAAGCTTGTTGGGGAAAAATTGAAGAAGGAAGTATACCTTGTCTTGAGCTCCTGAAAGAAAGATGGGATATAAGCAAGCAAATTATTGTACAAAAATCCTACTGATATAATTAGTATTTGTGAGATAGGCTGGCCTTGAAATAATGATTGGTCTAAAATCATTCTGAGTTTCCATAGCTAAAGATGGATTTTTCCAGTATAATGACCACTATACTATATTGGCTCTCTTTTAAAGCTATACTCATTTAACATTGGTGAACCAACTCACTTGTTTTTAAGATTCTTGACTGAAAGCCTTATATTTCAAACAGATTTTTCCCAACACATAAATCCCACCTCTATCAAATGGACATCCATTCTCATGACTAATGGCTTTAACACTGGTATAACTCTTGAGTTCAGATTGACAAAATTCTTTACAGCTTTAGGGATGGCATTTATGTTCCCTCCCTACAAACATCTGAAAAACCATTTGACTCTTTTAACAATAATCTATGTTAGATGATTAATCTCCTTTTTGGTTTCTTTTCTTTCTTTTTGTTCATACTTTATTTTTCATAAACAAATAATAAGCTTTTTGGATATACTTGAATGATTTTAAATGTTAATATACTGTTTAATTGTGGCAAGTTCTTGTCAATTAAACCTAATCATATTTTGTATACATTTAGGATACCAAATGTTAAGCTTAAGAACTTGGAAGTGATTAACTGCTAAGCCTCATGGATATTTATTTAGACATTTGTCATCGTATTCATTGAAACTTCTGCCAAGTATATATTTTATTGCACCATTTGATATTTATTTGGGGCAAAAAAAATTATTCAAAGCTTTCAGCGCATAGCGCAGTACATGATAGAGTAATCTAAACAGTATGGGGAAAAATAGCACACCATGTATACTCATGGATAAACCCATCCACAGATAAGCCAATCCTCAATTTTTTAATGAAAAGGCCATGAAAAAAATGTGCCACGTACAGATAAACCAGTTATGAAGATTAAAATGTATAAAAAAATTGAGGGTCGGCTTATTTATGGATAGGCTTATCCGGGAGAATATACAGATACTTTAAAAAAATATGATTACAGTCACAGAAACCTCACAATTGATCTACATAGAAAACACTTTTGGAATTTTTATTCAATAAAGATGAAAATGAAATTTTGATATTGGGATTTCATATCTTTTGATTATGGGGATATATATATGTCTAATCTGAAAGCAAGGAATGTTCATTTATAGATTTTTTTATTATAGAAGTATGCATTTATGGGTTATATGTTTTATTAAATTAAGAAATGATATATACATTATTGTTATTTGATCATTTGATATGTGTATCTTTATATATTTAGTTTTGTATCTTTTTCTTTTGTTAAAATAAAACGAGTATATTTTATGTTATAACTGGATCTATGTTGAAAAAGTTGGAAGTATAACATTTTTCTTATTATTCTTTGCTTTTTTATATCACTTTTTAAACATTCCTTCTTGTTCCTCTCTCCCACATTTCGTCTTATTCTAATTTTCTATTTTAGCTTTTTATTTTTTGAAATTTAATAAACCTCTAAAGCAAAAAAGAAATATCATAGCTGAAATTAAAACACAAATTATTAGTAGCAAAATCAATTATTAAAAGCTTGCAAAAATTCTTAAAATGACTCCTAGGAAATTCCTAGAAATTCCTAGAAATTCCAAAGATAAGATGTCCATTGTTAAAAAATAACATTTAAAAACTACTTTTAAATTATTGCCTTATATTATGATAACTACACAGTGATTCTCTGAAGAGTGGAATCAACTAAATGTGAGGGGGGAAAATCGTGAATTGAGCTTAGTTGTGACTATGGCCATGTAAAAGGTATTTTCTTGGGAATATTTATTTATGTATTAAATTTATTGTCCTCTCCCATCTTACCACAAGGTAACATCTTATTTCTCATTATTTTTTCCTGGACATTTCCCCCCCCACACACACATACACCATTTTTGAGTGGGTTATATAGCCTTCGGATTTCAGAATGACTTCTCCCACAAATGTGGAAGGTACCTCACAAATCAATGCACAACAACAAAAACAATCTATAGGCGACGTATATAAATATTGAACATGTTGAAAATTCAGCAACAATCATTCTGTTTATTTTTATCATTGGTTTAATATTAACTTTGCTTAATAAGGTTGAAATGTTATTGTTAGGTAAGCTCCCCGTTGGGAGAGCGAGTGCGTTCAGAAAAGTTTTGTGAGAATGGTGTTGGAGAACACACAAACCAGAATACAGAGACACTGCAGTTTAAATAGGCTTTTACTTTCGTGGAAATAGAGGTATCAGTGTCCATCAAACAGTCCAAGTCATACATGGTTAAGACAGTCAGTCATCAACGTCTTTCA